TAAGAAGGGTTTTTCAGCTCACCTCTGGCAGTTCTCAGTGAACATGCTGCAGTATCACAGATTCCTAATGAGTGACAGAACAGTTACCTTCCCCACCAAGGAATGATATACAACCACTTCAGACTTAAGTCTATAGATTTACAATTAAGTTAAAAGAAATCTGCAGTTTTTCTGATAGTGGCTACTTGTAGTAGCTCCAAGATGATCCCTGGAAACAAGGTACCACAATCCTTCAATCAGCATAACTGAGTCATTTGTCAGCTGACCTGTGGTAACTGTCTGTTTCTGTGCACCTAATTCATCGCAAATGTGAAACAAAACATTAGTTTAAACTATCATTATTAATTTAAACTGGCATAAAAATTTGTTATCCATATCTTGCTTCATGTTAAAGGTAAAGCAGAGATACAGTCAGTTGCTGAAGACTAGAAATTCCTTAAGCTGCAAGAAAGCAGCTTTCCTTTTCAGTGATGGTTTATCCACAGAAGAGAAAGGTTTGAAGAGAAGTCACCTTCCTGTTTAGTTCCTTAAAACCACCCAGTTGCTGAGGAGCAAGCTAACTCATTCAGGCCTAAAGAACTGCAGAGCCACACCTGTGAATGTATGGAGAGGAACTTGCAGGAAGAGGACAAGGGGGTGGAGGATGTGATTGCCTGAGGTCATGAAGACAAAGCCTAGAAGCCAGATAAGTGAAGAGAGGAAGAGTTGGAAAGTCAGGGAGAAATAGGAAGGCAATGTAGGAATTTGTTGCCCTGTTTAATAGATAGATGGGGATGTTTTTGTGTATATGACAGCTGAGTGCTCACTGAGTCAAATGAGACTAGAAATTAGGGAATCTGGTGGGGAAAGAGCAGATATGTTGACCAAATATACCCCTTGTGACTCAGAAAAAATTTTGGGATAGTAACCTAGTTTCTGTAGTCTACAAAGAAGACGAAGGTAGCTGGAACAAAAAGATAAAAAATACATCAAGCCACTGAGATAAAAAAGCACATCTATTATCAGAAGAAGAAAGCAATGCAGTAGAATAGGATGTGGTTCAGGAAGAAAAAGGCAGAAGCCAGCTGTGAAAGAAAGGAAGACAGACTGTGAAACAGGAGACTGGTATTAGACTGCCAGAGCACAGGATGCTCTGGCATTTCCTAAAAGGGTGGGCTACTAAGAGGACTGAAGAAGATAGCAAGGGATCTGCAGCAGGAACTGAGACGTACTGGTGCAGGGATTTCAACTAGTTAGTCTGGATAAAATAGAACTTGAAACAGAGGTCTTAAAAGTGGTTTGGAGACTGGGACTTTAGTAAAAGGCAAGGGATGGCGTAGAGCTAAAACTGAGACAAAAACAGACAGGAAGCAACAGAGCATGAATGTTCAAAACTCACCAGAGCAGCTAAAAAGGAAACAAAATTATTGAGTCTCACAATCTTTCATCTGTGCAAAGCCAACTGGCAAACCATCTTGTCCTCCCTAGTGCAATACCATATAAACAAAAATAGCTATAACTTAATCTGTAATGAAATGAAGAGGCTTGAGGTGCTGGAGGAGCTAGATGTCCCAGTCTTTCTATGTGTGTATATAACTATAAGATTAACTTTGATCTCACAGGGTAGGACTTTCTTTTCAAAGAAAAAAACAAATGCAAAAAGTGTGAGCACAAAAAAATTCAGAAGAATTACGGATCAAGCACTTTCCTGTTAAATATGTAACTTCAATTCATCTTGTTTGTGCTTGTACATTAGGATAAAGTGTTTAAGGATTCAGGAAGTAATATACTATTTGCATTTTCTTAATCTTTACATAGTAAAGATGTTTCACTGTGAAAACAACCTATCCATAAAACTTTCTAGACCACTGTGAACTAGTTCAGAAAATAAATAAGGCTTTTCCTTTGGAAGCACAGACAGGGAATACAGTCTTGTCCCCAAGATTTTGAGGGCGATTGATCTGTAACTAATACACATGACTTTTTCTTTCTTTAATATCACGGTGTCATAATTCTGGACTTGGACAGGAAAATGCACAGTTCCCACAGCTTTTCTGCCTTGAGTGGTACTTGCAGTTCATAAAGCAAAACTCCTGAGTCAAGCAGAGAAGATCTTAAGGACAGTGCTGTGGCACAGAATATGAAACTCATTGTAATTGGAGTCATATCTGGCATTCACACCAGGAGAAAAAATCCTTTTATGCTTTATGCCAGAAAATCATCACCAAGGAAATCTGAAAACATCAAAGTTGTCAGTGCAAAGTTGTTGAATGTTACAGACACTTAGATAAAGATCACTACTTTAGAAAATATTGCAGATAACTCTATGTGTACTTTCTTGTTATTTAGACAGCTCTGTCTGTAACATTCATGCATGTATGGACACATGTAACAGTGATCTTAGGAAGTCCTGAGATTCCTTATAACAAAAGCACCAGGAACTTTACTAAAACCACTTGCATATTTACATATTACATACACTGAAATACTCTACATGTGCTGATGCTTTCCCCCCCTTTTTTTCTTTCCTCCCCCTCACAGATAGTTTGTAACCATCGTAAACTAGAGGACTCAGAAGAACATGAGATCGTTGCTCTTTTCAGAAGTGCTTTGGGATTTTTAATAACTACAAAGTACATAGGACTTCCTCTTAACATTTATGCTGAGCATTTCTTGCAACACTATGGATAAAATGGGAATAGACAAAGCAGCTCTCCTGAGATACATAAACTCCAGATCTAACACATTTTGAAAGTCAAGTTCATTGGGGTAATGTTCCAAAAACAACTTCAAAGCCAGTCACCCTTGCAAGTGTTGAATACCTGTGGTCCCTTTTCTCTTTGTGTTTAATTTCCTGTTTCTCACTGAATATGTGCTCTCCGCCCTTCCAGCTCAACAAATACTATACCACAAAACTGTCTAAAATTCCTGACTTGTCCAAAAGCTTGATTCCAGTAACAGAAGCAAAGAGAAAAATAAAATAAACCTCAACGTTGTCAATGGCTTCCAGCAAAATATTTTTCTTTTTCAAACTGTTGAGTCCAGTCTTCATTCTTAGCTGTTACCTCCCCCTTCCAGATGTGTCTAGCATAACAGAGCTGAGGCTTTTGTCTGATAATATGGATTTAGATGCTACTGCTGCTTCCTTTCATGTGAGCTGCTCTAGCCTGCTTTGTTCTCCAGAGTTGTGCCTTCTGATGCATACAGTGAGATTGTTTTTCTATCCAACCTCTATTATTTGGCAGCTTGTTCTTTTTGTTGTTGTTGTAACAGGTACCTTAATGGCCAAACTGCTCTAGGAAAACATTTCATTAAAAAAATAATTATTTTATAGAGAAACAGTGCCACCCAGCAAATTGTATGGGCTGTTTCCTTACAGTAAATTATTTGCTTCTCCATGTTTATTTAGAGAGAATATTTACACAGAAGAGGCTTGGATTCTTTCTCTAAATATGATTAAATTCATGGAGCCATTCTTTATCTATGAGACAATCCAGATTTTATCCAGTTGAAAGTGTGTAATTGGTTAGGCTACATTAAGAAGCTGTAATCAAGCACAACTCTTTCAAACTAATTTATGTTTTTCTAACTTCTGGTCGTAAAAAAATTCTCACTGATGAGTTGTTATATATTCAAATGATTCTGCTGTCATATGAAAACCTGTTCAACAATACGATTAAAGGTTTGCTATCTGGTTGCAAGAGAGTATGGACTTCAACAGAATATTGACTTCAATAAGGTTATTTTCATAGGTTACCATCAGGGAGAAAGATTCCCATTTCAATCTTTGTTATGAAGATTTTGAACTTTTTTTCAGGAGGAATGTGTCACAGATGCATGAAGAAATACTTTTCAGTATTATAAAGGAATTAAGAATTATTTTTTTAATGGTAAAACAAACATTAGCAATAATTTTAAGCAGTAATTAACAGTGATTTGATGAAGCAGGAGCTAAACGGTCACAACTCCATGTCAAATTTTTGCATAAGATTACAACATGTGAACTAGCATGTTTAGTGTGAATTTTGACAATATAAATACTAAGTCAAAATACACATATTTAGTAAACATTGATTTAAAAGTCCAAATTGAATTTCTAGTCATGCATGAACATGTATGCACTCTGTATATATTAGTGGCACTTTCCTGTTCCGTAATAGTCCCATTTGGTAAACATTAGTATCTAAATATTGATTACTTCCATTATGTCTGCAGTATTGCTCATCAAGGTCTGGCAGTAAAAATATTTCCTGAAGTTATGTAAGAACAGCATGCATTGGTACTGGAAATATGTGTGATGACTGTGTACATCTTTGGCCATGTCTGCACAGGAGCTTTCTTATTGGTACAGGAGTCTGATTCACTTTATAGTTTCTAGTGCAGCTGGAAATGCACCAAAATCAGTATATTACAATTATATAACAGCTCCCTCCCTCTTTTATTTCAGGAAAATCTCTCATACCAGTAAATGAGAGGTTTTTCTCACAAGGGCTTACTTGTACTGAAGTCTACTGAATACTGAGATGTTGGCCAGCAATGACATCCCCCCAGCCTTAGCCAAGATAGGTGTAGCAATTATTTATCAATGCATTTATTATTTGCCAGATGTAGTGGTTCTTGTGAATGGGGCAGTGCTCACTGTCACTCATTGAGGTATAACACAGATGTTACATTTGCATATTACCTCCTTTTTCACTCCTGTACTTCAGAGCTGCTTTTGTGGAAGCCCCAGACACCAGGCAAAACTATATTTTTCCTTCCTTAGCGACAGCACATCATCTCTGAAGTCATATCATGGTAATTTACATGATCTATATGATAGGCTGTCAGCACTTAATGTATTTTACCAGATACGCCCCTCAAACTAATGTCTTGTTTCAACATTGTTCAGAGCAGAAGTTTGCTGTTACAGAAAAAGACCTAGAACATTTTATGTCTTTTAAGTTCTTTGCCAGTGAATGTCACTCTTAGCAGCACTTTGGGTTGCATGAGAGTTATTGAAGAAAGAAAAGCTTTCTTACCTAACTGAGCTGCTGCCAGCATCGAGGTCTTGTGCTGTCACTGCACCTATAATGGTCCCCACAGGTGTATCCTCATAAACCTCCATTGTGTACATAGGCTTGCTGAAAACTGGAGGTTCATCCATGTCCAACACATTTATCTTCACAGTGGCAGTATCTTTGAATGGACCCACTGAGTGAAATCGATGGTCAAGATGGAGATTGGAGGCCTCAACTTTAAAAGTATATGCCTTTTTTGTTTCAAAGTCTAATGGCTGCAGAAAGCAAAAGAAAACAAAACCATCAGATTTGACTAAAGATTAAATATTGGAAAATAATTTTGGTAGGATTAGTCTGGCATAACTTAAGACACCTTCAGTGTAAACTTCAGCTCCTGAACTAGCCATTTAAATTGGTTTTGCAGTTCATCTCATGCTAAGGCGGTTTCTGAAAGTACCCAGGTTAATAATACGTAGGAAATTACTGTTTCTCCACATAAAACACAATCAGGATGACTGGCATAGATGTAAACAGTTACACTGTAGATGTCTAAAGTTAAATGAGTGAAATTGATTTCTTGCAAATGATGCAAATGCTTGCATGTCTTGCAAATGCCATGTGTAGGTTGATCAGAGATAGGCATTTGCAACTCCCAGGCACAGGCGATAGATAAGCTGTCTCTAGCTGATCAAGTTCCTTAAACAGAATATTTAAATTTATTTTAGCAGCTAAAGCTTTCAAAGGACTATGACAATGATGGAAATGAGCCCAAATAAAAACAGAGATAGATACCAATGTGTCAAACCAAACTTCAGATGTGGCTCGGAATGTGAATTCAAGTTTTCTGCTAAAATGTCTATCTTAGCTGGGAACTGCTATTCGCCCTGTGTATTCATGCTGCATGTATGTTGAAAAATGCAGACTTTGACTCTGCCTTATGATCTGTGTATTCCATAAGGTCTTGAAGGCAGTATAGAAGCTTTTGTGTTCCTATCTAGGCTTTTTATGCAAATGTATCCTCCAATCAGATTGTTTTGGTGTTCACTTCTGTAAATTTAGAAAAATAATAATCTCAAAAACCTTAATGCAGTCTTATTTAGTTAAAAAAACGCAGAGGCTTTATTTTCGGTTAAAGGCTCTAGCTGCACCGGCTCTCACGTTTTTTGTTGACAGTGTTTTTCCGTTGTTTGCGTAACACTGGCACCTAGTGGTTTCTGACTATAATTGTCAAGTGGGAAATTTTTCTAACGGGAAGGGGCATGCGATCTGGGAAAGAGAGCAGGATCACAAGCGTATGAGCAGCAATATTTCAATATCTGTAACTTCTTTTTTTCCCCAGACATCATTACTGCAGAATTTACAGTCATTTGTCACAGCTAGAATAGATGTAAATTCTGCCTTTTTCTGTCTTTATCACAACAGGCCATAATTGGCCAGATGACTGGCTGGTGTAAATTGAACTAGCTCCATTAAAATAAATTGACTTTCCTTGACTTACGTTAAGTGAACAGCTAGCATAATGATTTTAAATGCTTATGAAAGATTTTGTAATTGTAATAGATTAGATGGTCAGTCTTTTTTGAGCTGGGGATTTAAAATTAGCCATCCAAGTCTGTATGCCATAGAAAAAAAATCAATCTTGAAAGCCAAGTAGTGCTAACCAATCCATTATCGCATGCAACCATCCTCCTGCAGATAAAATTCCTAGTAAGAGCCAGTGTGAGTTGCACCTCCATGACTGGACTTACATGAAGAAGGACAAAAAGAAACAGACAAAATTAAGTGTGGAAGATCTTCTTCCCTAGTGGTGAAACCCTAAGCTGTTACCTTTGCTGCAAATGGACACGCTGCTTCACTATCAACGTTGATGTCACACTGCCTTTTCCCTTTCTATACTACTTATATTCACTGTTATGCAATGCCAAAAAATCACCCCCAAACAAACAAAAAAGCACCCACAAACTCTTCCTCAGCTGATTATATAAATTGTTAACCAATTAAAAAACAAACAAAAAAAAAAAAAGGGGGGGGGAGAAAACTTGGCCCCTACAGAACCAGTCTGGAAGGGAAAAAGTCTCACTATGAGGGGTTACAGTGGCCTGGAAGGCCAATGGCATCCTGGCTTGTATCAGGAATAGTGTGGCCAGCCGGAATAGGGACGTAATTCTCCCCCTGTACACAGCACTGGTGAGACCTCACCTCGAGTACTGTGTGCAGTTCTGGGCCCCTGTCTTCAAGAAGGATATTGAGGTGCTGGAGCAGGTCCAGAGGAGAGCAACATGGTTGGTGAAAGGACTAGAGGGAAAATCTTTATAGGCTGAGGGAGCTGGACTTGTTTAGCCTGGAGGAGAGTCTCTTCAGCTACCTGAAGGGAGGTTGTAGTCAGGTGGGAGCTGGGCTCTTCTCCCAGGCAACTAGCAATAAGACATGGGCATGGCCTGAAGCTGCTCCAGGGGAGGTTTATGTTGGGTATTAGGAAATACTTCCTCACAGAAAGGGTGATTAGACATTGGAATGGACTTCCCAAGGCAGTTGTGGAAGCACCATCCCTGGATATGTTCAAGGAAAGACTGGATGTTGCACTTAGTGCCATGGTCTACCTGTTGTGGTGGTGTTAGGTCATAGGCTGGACTTGATGATCTCAAAGGCCTTTTCCAGCCTTGGTTATTCTGTGATTCTTGTGTGTATCTTTCATACCTCAAAACCTGCATTAAAACTGTTTAGTTTGCTTCATGTGATGCGAGAGTATATTTGAAGATAGATGTGCTAAAGGAAAGAGCCATAATCCATGTGGTTCTTGGAAGCTGTCATTCACTGAGTTTCTCTTCAAGACCGCAGTACCAGATCATGGTCTTTGGCCAGGGCCCAGTCACAACATTTGTGATGCAAAGGGAAAATAACTTTTGTTTTGGGATGGCCAAAGGAACGGAATTTCAAGCAATTCTGTATATTGGTGTGCTTTGGCTGGCATATTTTAGTGCACAGCTACTCAGAAATCAGGTAAAGTAGCTTCATTTCTTCTTTCCCCCAAATATTATGGGGCAATGTTATGTTATATTTTTGAAAAGACAGTTTGACCCCATGAAAGGAAAGTGTTTTCCTGCTGTAACCTCAGAGCAACTTGTTCTTTCTTTCAGTCCTTCTATGGGTCTAATGATGTAGTTATAGATGAAACAATATGTGGCCAATGCGAAGCACAGATGGCACTCAAGAAGAGAAAGGCTGAAAGTGATGAGCCATTGTCAGAGAAAGAAACTCGTGACAATTGCTGACAAAATAGCAGAATTTAGCCTTTCAGTATAACATATTTAGCATTTTAATATGTGAGGCTAAACTGCAGCTGAAATGTCTGCTGAAAGATGAGAAATGTTGCAAACCTAGGATTTAATTTCAAAACAAAAAAAGATTTTGTACAACATATGCAATGCAGCAGGAGGATGGTTTCAATGTATTGTGCTTATGGGGAATCCATGCTATGATCTCCCAATCAGTTCTGGTTCCCAGTTTTGCACAGTTATCCATATAGATAGCTATAGACAGACAGTCTCAAATTTTGGCATTTTTCTGCCCTGAGTCTGCCTGAAAACAGAAGAACTGAACGTTGACCTAGGTCTTGGGCAAAGCTTTTTGGATGTTTAGTTTTAAAGGTGTTAAAATAGCAATTATTTGTATTTCTGCTTTTAGTATATACCACTAAAATCTGTGAAGGACATGAGTGGTTGACAAGGTATTTTAGCTGTCTTTTTTAAAATTTAAAATATTTTATTTCTGTTACTTAAAAAATGTCTGACAGTGTTCAGTCCTGTTTTCATTTAAAATCTGGAATTATGTTAAGGGTACAAATATAGCAGATGTTTGAATCAGAAAAGCACAGTAAGATTATTGAAAAGTGTTTCAATTAAACAGATTTTAATGGAATTACTTCAAAGAATTTTTATTTATTTTTTTTTAGGTAACCAATAGAAATATTTATTCCTTCTATAAAGCTAAGTTTGAACAAGGCTTTTATTTTACAAAACTTTTGGGTTTTTCCACAGTAAACAGCATTTTTGCTAATATTAAGGCAATGTCTTATTAACTGTGAAATATTCAACAATTAGAGGAGTATTTGTAACAGATATTCTAAGTACCAGTGACAGAACAGATGTATTTGGCCTCCCTGCTGGTTCTTATCTGCCTTTTCCTGTGTTGCAGTTACAAGCTGCTCTATATAGTTGGGTAGTAGAGCACTATCAGCATATATACAGCTGTATGCAGCAAAGGCATTCCACAAATCCCCAAATCAAATAACACATACTGATAAATCACTTTATCTTGCAGCTCTGGTAGTACCATGAACAGGCCCATTTAGTATCACTAGGAAGGCACATAAACAGCTCCATGTTAGAAATAAATATATTTTGAAATATTACTGTTTCCCATATTCAAGGTAGAAGTTAAGGAATGCTACTATATAGGTGCATATATATGTACATTTATATTTTAGATAGATAGATAAATGAATAGGTAGATAGATTAATAGATGGGGAAAGAGAGAATTAAAGAACAGAAAGAAAAAAAAAAAAGGGGGGGATTAAAGATATAATGAATTATTATAAGAAGCATGGCAAGAGTGGGAAAAGAACTATCCTGCCAGTTTAAAAAGGCAGCATCAGAAACTACAGAAAGATATTTTAATCCACACAGAAGAGATACAACTGTACTATTCAGTGATACAGGCTTTCATGATCCACAATGATGGAAAAAACATATTTTGGGATGATACTGTAAGCTCCAGGACATATGAATAGTTGCAGTCACTAGCTACATTGAGAGAAAGCACATAGTAACTTAGGCTTGTCTTCATACTAGCATTGTGCACTGTGGAACAACAATGTCATGTGTACCTGTCTAGAAACCTGGCAACAAATTCCCCTTGAAGATGGGTTTAATGTCTATATGTGTTGTGAAATGCTGCCATAAGACCATTTGCTGTGCATTGGCATGTTTCAGTAACTACACTGGATATTAAAAAGCATAAGGAAATTAATGGTATTATAGAGCAGGTTGATTTATTAAAGCTAGCTCCAGGGGAACCAGGAACATTCATTAATTATGGAGACAAGAATGCACAATAAAAAAGAGATCTGTAGGCCACATCTACAAAAAGTGCTTTAGATTTGACCAAATCTAAATTAATTGTTTCCAGATTTGATGGGAAGCAGGCAAAATACATATGTTCTGTATCTGAAGAAGGGAAGAAGCTGACCAATGTTAGGGGTTCAGCTGTTTGCTGCTTGGGTTTCTGCAGGTGCCTTTCCCTGTTTCAGGAAAATCAAACCCAACAGGTCTATCTGCAAACTGCTGTGGCTGAAGAACACCCCTTCCTCACTCTGTCAGTCTTCTCTGTGGCTGTCGTGGTCCTTATGATTGCATCTGTATCTGGTTCACCACTTTCTGCCTATACTGAAGGACTTAATATTGCCTGCTCTTCCTCCTTGAAAGGTAAAACTCCAATTCCCACTCCCACAAACTGATGAGTTATGATCATAGGCAGTCAGAGCCCATGTACATACCTGCAGAAGGTATTCCCTGCTTCTGGAGAACAAAGGGGAGAGGTGGGTGACCAGTCTCTACACTTTTCTTAGTAAAGCAAGTAGTAGCGACAACTCAATTCTGCCTGAGGGATGTCAGGAGTGTGCCTTATGCTCACTATTATGATGTACAGATGTTTTTACTTCATAGCAATGTCCCAGCACTAAATACATGGGCTGTCCCTTGAGCAGGACAACTCAGCTTCGTCAGCAGTCACACTTCTACTTATTGACTCCAATTAAAGGCATCTAAAAAGTTGTCCCTGATGTTGTAAGGAGGCATACACACCAAATACCTCCGTGCAGCTACTGGGTCTGTTCATTCTCCTCCCATTTTCTGTTATTTTGTCATTGCTGAAGTTACCATTTCTCACCATGCAGTGCCTTGTCATCTCTGAGATAATGTGATTTCAAGGATACAGCTTTGTTGCCTGATCAGTTAGCAGTGGAACCCAGTTTACAAAAAAAAAAAAAATAAAAATGCAGATATTCCCTGAGCTTCCACTGACCCATATAGAGAACCTCACCTAGTACGTGCAGCAGTGTAGGATCATACCACGTGAAACCTAGAAACAGTTTTTTTTCCTGGGTTTTAATGATACTCTTTACAAATCAGCAAGTAATGTCTGAGCCGGGCCCAGTGCTTGAACCCTGCTCAATTTCTGGATTAGCTCACACTGAGCCAATTAAGAGGCTTCTGTACACAATGTGCTAATCTCATCTGTAGTTTAATAAATGTAGTGCCAAATGTTCAGTGAAGACTGGATCCTTCTGTTTTCTGTTGGGTGTGGTCATTAAAGATTTCTTGTAATTTTCACTAAAACCAGGATCTTGCCGGGAAACACTACTTCACATGCCACCTGAGGCCCCTACACTCCATTACAAAAATGGTAAGAAGGTACCTTTTGTCACTGCTGCCTGGACCTTACTGTAACTTGTTGAAGAATTGAAGTAAGATGACAGATACTATATAAATGTAAAAGCCAATAAATACTGTATTAAATACAACCAGACAAGGGAAGAAATCAGCCATTCTTTTCCTAATATATTAATATTTCTTCCTCTTACAGAGACATGTATGCAACACTGTCTTAAAAACAGACATTTCCCTCTCTTTTTGCTGATTTTTTTTCTTTTTTTTTAGAGATGGGAATCTGGGAATCTATTACATTACTATCCACACAGTGGTGCTAAGTGATATGTGGATCATTTCTTCAGCAGAACATAAGAAAATTTATTCCATTTTTAATACATATATGTAAATAGCACAAGATGAGTAGTAATCAAGTTCATATTGGATCATAGTATCAAAATAAATCAGCAACCAAAACAGATTATTTAAGATGTGCACCTTGTTCAGCTGTAGTTATTTCTGCCTATTTAGTGTCCAAAAAGCAGAGTCTCCACCAATGCACTTAGAGCACTAAAAGGAAGAATTTGGCTTGTGCAGTCTTTTATCATCAAATGCATTTTCCACCAAAAATAAACATAGTCCAGGATGGCTCAATTTTCCTCAGTTCTGAGATAAAAATATCCCCAAAGTTTGTTTGGGGTTTTTTTGCATAACAACATGGCATAACATAACAAAGCATCTCTGCAGTGATTGACAGTTTCTGTCTGCAAGAAATGTTTTAGGAAAAATAAAAGCAAATTTTATAAATGGTTTTGAAATGGCTCAAAACTGAATTACTGCAGCACTTACAGCTTCAGCATATGCTATGATACAGAAAAAAAGTGCAATCTTGTTTTTAAAGCACATAGCACTTTTTATTAGTGGTTTTGACTGTTTAAATCCATAAATGAAAGTGTTGGCCCTGTTCATTGACCATCTTTGATTTAAAGGACTTAAATGCATATCTAACTTAAATATTTGCATAGTCCAACAAAGTCAAATCAGTGTTTTGAACACCATGCAGTGTGTAATAGTTTCTGTGCAGGCAAATAAATAGTGCTGTTTCAGGCTTGTGCAGTACAGGCAGCATGTGTTTCAATAGATGTCTACAGAATTATGAATGTCCAGCACTTCTGAAAATCTGAAAAACTGCAACCCATGCAAACACATTTATAGTATTACAAGCATAGAGGATATGAAAAGACAACTGAGTTAATGGTATCCTTAAGAATATGGATTGCTCTTGTTAAACCTGGGATCCAGCAGGGAATTCAAGTGGATGGATTTTGAATGTTTCTGAAATGCCTTAAAACACTTGGATCATTTAAAACTTTGTGAATGGAACCTTTTCCCTAAGAAAAGTCTTGTGAAAGACAATGTGTAGGGACTGTATAAAGGCATTACAGAACAAAGGTAGCATTCCCTGACCTTCACAGCCTATCACTGTCCCCAGGCTCACCATGATGAAGACGATTAAGAAGGGATTAAGATTACATTTTCCCCCCTCCTGTTCAGTGACAGAGATCTATCATTTACACTAGGTAGTATCAACCAATGTTCTGCTGTTGTAAAAGTGCCCTAAAATTTCAGATAAGCCATATATTGTTATTGAAAAGACAAATAAATGCAGCAAAATACAGTGACCAACTGTAAAGTATCTGGATATAGAATTAGTTGTGTCAATTTTTTTAAAAGTAGTGATTCAATTAGATATTATTTAATTCCCCATATAGCAGTCTCAAAAGTGGCCAGGCATTTTGCCTGTCCTGATAAAGTCATATATGGATGCCTTTCATCAATAATAAATATTGCATGCTGAGCTGTTTGAATCTGCAATGGAAATTTGCATGATTTGTCTATATAGTCTAACATACACATACTTAACCATAAGCATGAAAAAGTTCCATTACTGTATATAAAAACAAGCAGCAATCCAGGGAGACCTGAATCCTATAAACTGCTTGATGCTCAAGCATTCATTTTTCAATGGTTCCCACTCTTTGCTGTTTTTGACTGCCAGTGCATATGGAGGGGCATGCAGCTGCTCAGCCTGATAGTTCCAGATGGAACTATTTTTGAGTCATCTGCATAGAAGGAAAGAGGTGATCAGAATTATTTTTTTTAATTACACCAAGATTACAAATTCACATAACAAGGAAGCAGTATATTCAAACTTCTAGTCAGAAAAGAAGGGGACATGTGAAAGTGGAGTTTCATGTCTCATTGACAAGTAACTTATGTCACAGGAACCAGCAAAGAAATAAGTGACTTGACATCATCTGGTCCTCTAATGCTCCCATGGATAATTTACTGTTGCCCAAGTCAAGAGGCTGAAGCCACGAATTCTGTTGCTAGAATGAGTATAATGCAAACCTAGATTAATGATCAGAGCTTGAGTTAATACACACGTCCAGAACCCTCTTCTTCCCAGACCTTTGTTAAGTGTTTAGCTCAAAGGTGTGCTCATTTTGCAAAAATTACATCTAGAAACATGAGCTGTCTATAAAACATAACCTGGCCTTTCAAAATGAGCTGCTGGTTCAGATTTCTTTTTTATTAAAAAAAGTTGATCATTGGTGTACTTGTACATGCCTAGGCTCAGAAGACCAGCATTTGTTAAAATGTGACTGTCCCTGTTTTGGATCTGTCCCGCTGAATGCTTTAATCACTGTATTCCAAATGATGCTTGTCCTTTCCTTTTTTGAAATTCATTAATTCAGTAACCTTGAAATTATTCTAGTACACTAAAGAACCATCAACACTTGAGATGCAGTGTGCTCCTTTATATCAATATCTGATAACCAGCTATTTGGGATATTATTAGGAGACTGGAAGTAGGACATGTCATTTTGCAACCACTTGTGAATCCTCTATCCTGAGTAGAGTACCCACAGCACTGTACAATAGCTTCATTATTAAAATAACAAAAATTGAAAATTTTCAAAATAAAATGCTTATAAGTGAAAATGAGCTATATTTCCTCAAACATAAATTATAGCTCATGCTGTGAAGTGGAGCATTTTTCACATGGTTTTACATGGAAAATTTTCCATAAAAGATAAATGATACTTTTTAGACAGAGATAAGAATTACTTTTCTGCCACGAAAATGGACGTTATTTGTGAAAATAATACCTAATTCTATATTAAATTAAACACTACATTATTAATTATTTTAATACTAAAAATCACAACCACAGCTTCTAATAAAGGTACTGTGTGTACTTACCAGGTATCATTTAATACTCTTACCTAGTTTCTCATTTGAGACATAGGTACATTACATACACCCTACACACCACATACCTTTTTCAGTTTTATGACTCCTTCCTGGGTATTCTCATCTGTTGTGATGTCAAACAAGTTTCCTCCATCTCCTGGAACTATGTTGTACTCAATTTCTGCATTTTCCCCAAAATCAGGATCCACAGCTCTGATCCTTCCAATAGCAGAACCAACATGAGAGGACTCAGGTACTTTTAAATGGAAGATACCTGTGATTAAATAGTAAAGAGTCATTATTGGGATTTCTTGATGATCAACATATTGTGTCAGATTAAAATTAAAAAGCTTGTGTGAAATAAACAGACAAATAATCCAAATATAATAACGCGATTGAAAACCCAGAGGATTCAAAAAAGGCATGTTTCACCTACTGGTCAGGCTAATTTCCCCTAATTTCTACATATGTTTCAATACAACTGTAAGGACTTCAGTATTTCTATCGCTTAAGCTAAATATCTATATCTCTATTATTAAATACTACTTGTAGACAGCATGTTTATAAGCATTTTATTCCTTCTATGTTTAACAATTTTTAGTATTTGCATTTTTATTTTGTTTTAGAAAACGTATCTATGCATTTAAAAGTAGTTGAAAGGGGAAAAAAAAAAATGGAAAAAGAATTTTTACCCATTTCTGTAGTATTCAGTACCAAAATTACTCCTACTATTCGTGAGAGGGAAGATTAAAAAAGGCATAGTTTACAGACTAGCCGCCAGAGGGTGCTCTTACTAAAAGGTAGGTGGCAAACATTTTTAGCTCTGCACACTTCTACTTTCAGTTTATTTACTATTAATGGTAATAAAAGTTTTAAAAATGCCCCGTAAATTACAATTAAAAAAAAATAATAATTACTGATGATATGTGAGGACAAAATGGTTTCATTCAGGGAACCAGCTGTGTTGAAACACTGCTAAATATGAGAGTTAAAATAGCTAAAAGACAAGATCCATTTTGATTCAGCCTTGACTTTAATGACACCAGTAGCAGCAGGCCTCAGTTTAAAACATATTACCATGGCTTATTACACTGCTGCTGAAGCGCCTGCCTCTCCTGTTCAGTTGTGTCTCTTGCTGGGATTGTTACCTTGCCCAGCTGCCAGTGAACACCACCGCGGCTGGTATTTCCAGTGCACAGGTAGTGTTTGCCTTCCTCACACAGCAGCCTTGCTGTCAAAACTGCCAGCAGCTTTTGGAGAAGATTTCAGCACGTCTGTGGTGTTTGATTCACTTCATGCTGGCTCTCAATAAAACTAGCATTTTCTTGTCCCAAAACTTTGCTTTCCTGTGTCACCCTGCAACAGCTCTCACAGAGTAGCCCCTTTGAAACAAGAAAACATCTGCAATAGCCTTCTCCGTTCCACTAAATGTGAACATGCAGGAGGAAATTTACACCTTTGTTTCAGTACTATAGCAGGACGGGCTTCAGTGACTGAGGCATACCAAGGGGATGTCTCAAAGCTTTCCGCCTGCTATTGGTTCAGTCACACTTCACAAAATAAGACTCTGAGAAGCTGTATATCATGTAACAGCAGGATAAATGACTTCTGCATCCAGTCACTGAATTAAACTGTTCCCTGTAGTTATCGCTTTACAATGGATGCTGTGTCAGCTTTTTCAGCCTTACAGTACTTACAGGTGACGAAAAAAGTGACATTAGCACTGCTGGATTATGAGAAAACCTGCTCTTTTGTGAGCTAGTAGTTTGGACTACAGTACCTGTATGATTGTCTGCTTGATTGCCTCTGAAAAAATGTGTTTTGTCTGCTTCCCCCATCTGTCCGTCAGTATGCAAAGTATATCTAAGACCAAAATTTCCTTTATTTGTTTGAGAAAATCCCTAATTCAAGTCTGCTTGTGTCAGCATCCACATTTGGACATTACCAGGTGTAGCTTTGTAGCCCTCTGACTGATCTACTAAAGGTTGGGCTATTGTCATTTCACTATTTTTTACAAGGGAACATGCTAATCTTTCCGTCTTTTTCCAAGGGAATGTACTAAAGGAAGCCTTAGTTCTTCTCTTGTTTTTTTAACAGTTGCAATGGATCACTATGACTTAAAATATTATCAAGATGAGAGTAGCTTCAGCTGTTTCTTAGTTGTACTTCAGTGACTTTGAGTAAACTTTTAACGTATTTACAAATATACATATTACTGGGTCTCTGCTATGCAAGTTATTCAGAAGACGTGGAAGAAAAGGGACCCAAGAGGGCTCTGCCTACACTTGAGTCTTATATTACTTTTCCACAACAGTTCCAGCCCAGACTCCAAGGTCTTTTACAGACACCTACATTGCATGACAGAAATAATTGCTGCAGTGTTTACATTTTTCAGCCACAATTTTGGTGAATGTAAAATGTAAGAGGATACAATAATGGATTTTTCCTTCTTTGTCATGTTGATATATTCTTAGTGAATAGAAGAATACTCAGATTTGTTAAAAAGCAAACAAATACCCCCTTCTCCCCCCAATTGTCTGTAAAATATTGTACCTGGCTGTAAAGCATATGGGACTTAGATGAAATCCAAGAAACACTACATTACTCATTTCAGATTGTTTAAGCTTTTATCGGTCATTTTCAATGACTTGGCATTTGATCACTTCAAGAAATTCAATGCCAATAAAGAAGGGGTCATTCAGATTAATTTGAAACTGAATTTATCTTCAACTCTGCCAGAGTCAGATCTCTGAAGATGTAGTATGCAATTACACTGCCATCTTCCTCATGTAACAGTATTTTCACTTATATGGAAGCTGTTAATGGTGCTGCTGTGACAACATACTTTCAGAATAAAATAAATTAAAACAAATCATGAATTTTGTTGTCAGCTCAGGGAAAAACTTCAAGAGTTGAAGTATAATGAATAGCATGAGAGCCTTTTTCTTTTCCTCCTTAGAAAATAGTCTTTGTACAGAGGACATTTGAAATGATCAATACATGCTGCACATGAAATGTAACAGTAAGACAGTTTAGTAGCTTTCTATTTTTCTGTTTCTAGAAGACATTACTTGCTATGGACTTGTCTCAGTTTAGCATTATTTAGTTTTATTGTCCATTTTACCTGTGTACACTACTACCTCCACTTGCTATAGAGGTATATTGAAACAGGCCTGAGTAATAAATAGGCTTTTACTCTCAAAGGTCCTGAAAACCTTGTTCTCTGCACCTTCTAGGAATGATGGAACAAGCAGTTCAGACAAACTTATGTAGCACTTGATACGCTGCTCCAACAGTTCTGTCAGATTTTGTAGATTGCTTCATGTGACTTTTCTGCCTACATTTTTTTTTTTTTTTTTCTACTTGAAGAAGTCTCCTCTAAGTATGTTTTTTAAGTTTGCTGTTGGGTTTTGTGAAGGATGAACGATATAGGATGTAGCAAAGGAGCAAGTCCTTATTTCTCTCAGACTGCACTACAAAACTGGATCCTGCAACTACTAACACTTTTGCTGATTTCAGTCATCTGTATTGCATGCATGTCAGAATACTTTCACATATAGGAAAGCTAGAGGGAAAGCATAATGCCTGGTCAAGATTCTTCACCTTGTTGTAAATGGAATTTTAAGAAAAAAAATTAATTCTCTTTTCTAGGTCAAAAGTCATGTGCCAGTTGACATGCTTAACTAACACAGCACTTCACACTGAAATTACACTTAAAATTCAATATAGAATTTAAAACTAGAGAAAGCTCAGTGATTATGTAGCTTAACATAAGTGTTCAGCCATTCCCTTATAAAGCCTGTGTTGCCTCTGTTGTGATCCAAGGTGTGAAACTGCCTTGGAGTTTCAAGTTGAGCAGCATCAGTGAGAATGATAAAAATAAATGCACGATGATGCTGACATGACTGATAGGGCTTGCTAGTCAGCTCCAAAAGCATGTGGTAAACTGAGGTGGAGGTGAGCTAACAGCTAATACATGCTGCCTCCTAGTTTCTAAAACAAAGACCATTGCAAAACTCATAGTGGAAAGAAATCAGTCGAGTAAGTATAATGTAATCAGTTGTCCTGACTGAAATTCAGCACACATTTACAGATCTTTAGCATTATTTATCAGCTTTAGTTTTTAAAGCTGAAAAGGTGTTCTGGGGATTGATTTTTACTTACAAAGGGTTTTTTTTTTGTTTTTTTTTCTCCGGACCTGCCATTTACAGGCATACCATCATTTACCAAAGTTTTTTAGTTCTGATGAGAATAAGAAATGAAAACAATAATTATATCTCATCAGCAAAATAATCATTAAGAAATTACCCATATTAGCATCTAAAGACTTAAGCTAACTGCATAAAGACCAAAAACCAAACAGTTGTAACTGCTACTTGACCTTTTTTTTCTGATGTCACCATACATTCACTGTGTGTATGCAAGATTATCCTCTCCAGCTTTTCCTTTGTCTATATATTTTTCAGTTCTCTCTCTCAGCTGCCAAAATATTGCATTGCAGTTAATCATGCTAACATGAATCTTATAAGCAACAACATTGAAATAAAATTATTTCTTTCTTTTTGATCTAAATCTTTAGGGTGGTTTGTTTTTTGGTGTAGTTTGGGTTTTTTTTGGTTTTTGGGTTTTTTTTTGTTTTTTTTTGTTTTGTTTTGTTTGTGTTGTGTTTTTGTCATAGTTTTTTCAGGAAAAGAACAACAACAAAGCCAAACATATTTATGCATATTGTAACATTCTTGTCAGCTTAAGTTACCAAGACATTTCAGTTTTTATCCTGGCCAGGTTATAAGGGCATTGATATCTTGTCTGTTTAAGAAGAACCCAAAGACAATTGTTACAAGAGTGTAATATGCAAAAGAAAAAATACTGTAAATACAAGCATATACTCAGTATACCAAACCTGTTATATCAGCTACAGCCTAATGATTAGGGACACCTGATGTATGTGCTCCTAAGACTGGGAAGATGTAATATAGCACATTTTTCATGCCTCTCCCAGCTGCAGTTCTGTGCCTTGCAGGGGGCTAGGACCTTGCATAGGGAAGAAAAAGGGCAGGCTCTGTCACCATGTGCTCTGGTGCCCATCACACATCACCTGGCATAGACTGGTAAAACTTCAACTATGGCAAGGCTTCTTCCATCTTCAAACCCACTGCTCTGAGTTAGGGTTTATGGTTTCATTAGATATAGTATAACCATTCTTAAAAATTCCTGGTTCTCTGCAGTGGATCCCAAGGTCTACATATAGCAAGAGCTACAACTGCAGAGAACCTG